TTCTAGCGTTAGCTTCTTCATGCCCGAAAACGAAATCTCGAACAGTTTTAAGGTAATTATGGCTTTTATTTTATTTCATTATTATTTTTTGTTGCAAAAAAATTAATGGCTCCGCTTGTTCCGGAGGTTCCACAGACTGCTGATCCATAGCTTATTAACACCCACTCTTGATACAATTTAAATCTACGTGAATCAACAAAGTTGCTTTTTATCAGCTGCTCAAGGTGATTCGACCTTGGCTTACAGTTTTTCGTCAAGATTACCATACGTTCTCTTAACTCCCTTCCCTAAAATTAATATTGAATATTCTTCGTAAGAATATCAGGAAGTTTCATTTCTTTTAGTTTTCTCGTATGTCAGGCCTGGTCATTGAAGTACTTTTACTCTGTACACTTGCGCAACAATGAAAATGTCGGAACTCTGTTGTCTAGATTGTGATTGGTCAAGCTAGCTGCACGACGGGAAATAGCTGGAACATGTGCTTGTGTATCTTATTTTCCCGCCATTTTGACAAAATAGTCAGCCGGCGGCTTTCTCTGATCTTCGTTTCCTGTCTATTGAAAACAACCGCCATCTCAGACTTAGCGTGCATATAATTTTTGAGCTTCAATGTTTACTTTTCGTTGGGTATGGTTCTCAATGATACAAATTTGGTGCCAACGTACGTGGAATCAAGAGAATATAAGTTAAATACTTTATATTCGATTGATGGAATATGTCCAGTCTTTTTCTTAAACTGAAGATTTCTCTTGTTCTCATGTTTAAAAAATGTCAGCGAAGCCTAACTGCCGAAAGAGCTTACTGTATAAAATTGAAGTTTATAATAAGCTCAGAAAAGCCATTTTGAATTTTCATTTCATTAGCTGAATCGAAAGACAGAGCATGTAAAGACATAGCCTTTTAAAGCGTTAATAGATGCGAAGCCAAAGGGCAACAGATTTTGACTTCATCGGTTTTCAGCTATTTACAAATGTATTTTCGTATAAATCAATTATACAAACAACACTTGAGTCATCAACTTAACCAATGATGTGACAGCAAACAAAGATGCGTACGTGGTTTTCGCGCGCATGCGTAGGGCTGCATTCCACACATGCTGCGGCTACCTATTAGCTGGTGAGGATTGTCTTGTTTTTTTTTTTTTTGTTTTTATCAATTTGACTGTCTACGCAGTGGCTCAATTTATCCTTAGTTTAAATTCTACTTCCTTTGTCTTTTAGTTTCCCATTCTTGGTTTTTATCATCAACGTACCCAAAAGCATTTTGTCAAAAGGAAAATTAACTTTGTATCGGGTTTGAAACTGGTTCAAAACATACACACGTCTCATTATTAGTTCTATGCCACAGCCACTTTTTGGCGATTATTCTAGTATTGCAGACAGCTCTAAATTCGAAAATAAATACAATTTCCTCTCATTTCAAACATCTGCATGGGCTAGATCTTTTATCAATTAGTTTGTTGTCAAATTTCTCGACAGATCTCAAAGATAAGCCAAAGGCAGAATCGAAAGCGATTCTAAATGCGATTCAAAATACCCCCAAAAAGCTTACCGAATATTTGTTTAAGACACAATAAGCATCTGGTGTTCATCAAAACGGTCTGCGTTTTTAACTTTGTCTTCTCGTTAAGAGATTTCCGTTGATTATGATGTGCTTAGTGTCCGGCATGTTTCAAGTTACAAACCAGCTTCATACCTGGTTGAAAATTCGTTTTCATTTTTACAAAAAGCTTTTGAGTATGTTGATGATAAAAACCCAGAATAGGAAACTTTAAAACAAAGGAAGTAAGGTTTATACCAAGGATAGATATTGAGCCACTTCATAGTGGAAAAGCGGTGCGAATTGAAAGTTGAGACGAACTTGAAAAGATCGATTGAAGAAAATACCTTTTTGACGAAATTTCTACAAAAAGGTTGATTTTTTTCTCTTTTTTATGGTCCATGGCTCATATTTAAACCTGCAGAGATCAGAGATGAAAATTTTCAGAGGAAAATTAAAAATGAATCATTTATAAATAAAATTTGCCAATTAAAAAATATTGAAATGAATCGTGAACGATACTTTTTGCGGTAAAAGTCACTGCTTTTACCGCTTTTTATGGAAAACGGCTTATTAATCCACCGTCCTACGCATAATTTTTCAGCTAATCTCATTTCTCGTTAGTCTGGAAAGGTTTGCATTAAAAACCTGATCAGATTGAGGTGATAAGATTTTTCTCCCAAAATTTCTGTTTTATCTCTTTGGGGCTTCCTATAGTTATAATCAAATTTTCTTGCAGATATTTAACTGGCATTGTTATCTCTCTCATAGTTATTGTTTTGGATTGAAAATAATTGATATAAAAATACCTGGTGCAAATTATGAGTTTATTTCAATCACAACCATTGGGAGAAAGTTGCATAATTCAATTTCTTCGTTCAATTCTTCACACTCTCTTGAATTCTCTTACAAAGATCCTAAGTCATTTACGGAGGAATTTTAAATCAACGTCTGAGACCAAGGTAAGACTTTATAGATAAAAGATTTTATAATTAACATCGCGTATGTTTCCATCACCTCACGAATCTAACTGATCGCCTTAAAGATGTGTTTTCATCGCTGGCTTCAATTTGCATTTTGCCGTGCCAAAAAAAAAACATTCGTTGACTTCGTGAAAAACTCCGCATTGAAATTCCTTGTATTATCAGAATTAATTCTTATATTTCCCAGTTTTCTCTTGCTACAAATACCAAAGGCGTAGATGAGTAAAAGAACACTTTCAAGGTTTTTTCGAGCGATGTATATATAGATAAACATGTTTTGAATTCTCAAGTTGAATTTATAACAAAAGCAACCTTCGGCCTGTGCTTAATTTCTTATAATTACCAAAACATTTTGAATATTTTCTGAAACTTCGGGCCTTCGTTCTTACATTCCAGAAGCAAGTTATTTTCAGTTTGGACCCAGATGAAAAAATTTTTTGTTAACCTAGAGCCAATTTATGGTTAGCCTTTGTACTTAATGGTGGGCGGTTCTTGGTGCGTGAATTTCGTTTTGATTTCAAATCCGGCAATTTTATACATATTCTTGGATTTATATTAACTCAAAAAAATATAATTAAAGAAGAGCAAAGTAGAATTTTGGAAGGATGGTTGTCATTTTAAAATGATTTGGCCAATCTCTGAGTAAGATATTTCGCAGAAAAATTCAATACAATTGCGAAATATTAATGACAGACAATTTCTCGCCAAAGATTTATTCCTTACGAAAACAACAAAAACAAGTTCATGCAAAAAAGATAAATATTTAAATCTTTCAAGAATCACGTAGAAAAACATTTTTAAAATTTACATCACCAAATATAATTTTCCTCGCGTACCACGATTACCATCCTCTGAGTGTTTTTTTCTTGTTATAAAACGCTTTTCAGATAAATTATTTATTCAATTCTCCCCACAAGTTGATTGATAGAGAAGGCATATATAAACGCGCGTTATTCCTGTATATTATGAAGGAAGTAATCTAAGGTAAATTTTGGCCGGTAAACAATTCTTGCGCGAATTTAGCGAGGAGTTAGATTTTAAGCAAAACAGGTCTGAGAATTTTTGTGATTTGGAATAGAATATTCCGGAATATTACAGGACTTCATCGATCTATATTTTGCTCTCCCATTAGGGTATTCTAAAACACGGAACTTGCTGGTACAGAATGATGAATGACCGACACTTTGTTCGCTGCAAATGAGGCGAGAAAACTGACCAATTACATTAGCCAACCGAATAGACGTTTAAAACGGTAAATTGCACCTCTGTAATGATGCATATAGCACTTATTTAGCGCTTTCATTACGCATTTTGCAATTCGTATATGTCAATTTTTCATTCTGTCATGTCAAATTTAAAATTTGAATAAAAATTAGCGCGATTTTTCATAAGCAAGGGGGTGGTACACATTAGCGTCTAACTGCCGCTTAGGGTATACTGGGCTTTTTTTCTCAATAACAATTAACGTTTTTTTTCCTTAGACCACGACGGGAGATCACATTAACCCGAGATCCTCTCCCCCCAGTACCAATCCTAGCTACTTCCTGTGAAAATATTTTTCGCGTTCCCATAGCAACCCAGTGCACTTCAATTTTAAAAAAGTACGACGACCCTTTAAATTTCTGCTGGTTATACATTCTCGGACGATAAATAGACAAACAAATAACAAACATAGATATAGATAAGTAAATGAATGGAGCAATAATACGCTGTAATGAGCGAACGTAAACATACGAGGTGAGCGAGCAAATATCTAAAGACCTTTTTGATGAATTTTCCATGCTTCTCTGTCGACTAATTCATTGTTTGTGTACAAACTCGCTCAGTATTTGAAACCATGACAGCGATCCCCACAGTCGCTGCAAAAGCATAAAAGCTGCGAAATAAAAAATCTTGCCCAACGTAATTGCTGTTCGATTCAAAGAGCAGTACTTTTAGTTGATGAAGTTACTGCTTCTTGATTAAAAAAAGGATCGAATAAGCTGGAAGCACGGAATTTAATCCGACTACTGCTCCAAACGACTATTGGATGAGGAGATCCCTAGCTAACTACAACTTCATGATCAATCGCTTCCGTTTAAACTCTAAAACATGTTTAATAATTCAAACTCGACGACCATTCTTTTTTCAGTTTGATATATTGCAGACGATAACATAAATATGCTGTACTTCTTAGCTAAATTTTTCGTCCCGAAAAAAACGCACTCGAAGTGCAACAGACTTTTTCGAAGCCAATCTTTTTAACGTTGCGTTTGATTTAAAACAAGTGTCTTCAAATTTCTGTTATTCTTTCAAATTTATAAATTAAACATCACGAACAGAATTGGCGTCCTTTGACAAAATGTATGCTAAACACCGTACCTAACACTCTATTTACCTTCAATGAATATTAATAATTCGGCCGTTATTTCTATGACAAAAAATTAGAAATACGTTTTAGAAACACTTCCCACGAAACACGTTTACTATACTTCGCGTAGCTTCTAACGATAAGCTAATTTTGTGATGCCGCACGTTTCATACTGCGCCTTCGCTTGATACACGAGAATCAAACCGAGATCGATATCCTATTTGAGTCAATTCACGGGGAATTAAATTGTGCTCTACGGGTTTTGAGTCTCTGCCAATCGCAAATTTTCTCTCTGTTTTGGTAGGTTCTAAATAAGCGGCGGGGAATGCCTCTTTCAATGATATTTTTTCTATAAACCATGTAACTCTTCTGAATCAAAAATGCATATTAAATTGTTTTGTTTCAGAGACTTCACGGCCCCTGCTGAAGGAAAATAACAGCAAACTTGTTCGGCGGTGAAGAAACATCGGCGCTTATCGTATAAGTGATTGGAGGTGAGACATAAATATTTTTTAAAACATTGCATGCTTTAATTTTTAGAGGCAACAAAACGATCATTTCATGTTGTATGGATAATAATTTCGACGCATTCTTTATGAAATTGCTACAAACGTAACCTTTGCAGAAACATTTTACCAAAGAGTTTTCCCTAATGAAGTCGAATTGGGTAATACACCGGCCAAGTGCTAATGCAAAAATCGAAGACCAGTTAATACCAGTTTTCCCTCTGTCTTCGATGAGTGTTCGCAAATTTATATGCAAACGAGTACATGTTTGTTTTTCAAGGATTGAAATAACAGAGAGCGGCTGTAGGTCCCGGAAAAGTATTACTACAAATTGGAAAATATTTTTTGAATAGAATTATGATTCTTAAGAGCCTTCTTGACTGTAGAAGAAATAGTTTCGTCACCGAGTCTGATATAATTTGTATACGCCAGCTGTATCGATGTTTTATTTTCTTAGTTGTTTTAACCTTAAACTCTTTTACGAGGAAAATAAATTTAATCAGATCTTCTGCTGCAGTGAGTGCCGAAGCGTAGAAGACTTCTCAATATTGAAAGAGATCTTCGCTCGCGCGATCGACTAAAACATTGCTTAATGTGAAAAAAAATAATTATACCCAGATGTATTGATGTTTTTCGCCAACCTGAACAAACATTACTTTAAATAAGTCTTTCACCATTAAGTGCATAGAGAAGAAATTGTCAGTATACAGCTTAGCGCCATTTTGTCAATGAGAAACACAAATTGACACCGAGTACCGCTAACATGACGTTATGTAAATAAAATATGAAATTTGAAAACTAATTTTCACGCAAGTGAAGAGCTGCGTATTTATATTTTTCTATCCGGCTGCCAGCTTAGATCTTGTCGAGAGTCCTGTTGCGTCTCTACGGGCAAAAAGCAAACTTTAGATAACGGGAGATCTACAGCAAATTGTACTATCCGCCGTCGGCAGCTATTAGAATGTTCATCTTAGTTTGGCAGGTGTCGCACTAAAGGCGGACGAGGTCATAGTGCGTTCCATATTCCATGACACATTTACATATGCGAAATATGCTTTTGTATGTATGCATTTGCTGTCGACTGGGAAGTCCTACCAAATGGAAACCTATTGACTAAGTTTAAGGTAAGCCGTTGATACAATGTGATGCAAGTAAAACGATTTGTAATTTTAAAAAGACATTAAATTCTCTAAATTTTCAAACACTAAAATGAAAGGTCACCGTGTGCATTTGTTTTTTTTTTTTTTTTGCGAGGAACGATAATTTCCTTATTCTAATCTCTAATGTCTTAAAATTTTTTATGGAATTGACACTAATATGCTATTTTCGGTTAACACCTTATGTGTTTTACTGTACAGGTTTCATTTTCGTCGGTATTGTTTCTGTTGCTCTGTTAACGTTATGAAATACTGTTGCTGAGGTGCTTTCGAACATTCACCGAATGTGACCAGAATAATGATGAAATTAGCTCGTTAATCTCAGCATTTATCATTTAACCACGCAGATAGCTAATGAGAATGGACAACTTTATCATCTAGAAAGTGTTATACTGATAAATAACACCAAATTCTCCAAACCAATTCACAAAGAAGAATTACGCGTCAGGTCATAGAGTACAAACCATAAACAATCGACACACAAAGTGCAAAGCAATTAAAGGAAACAAGAAATGAAAAACTTAGCGGATTCACTTCCTCTGTAGACCGTCAGCTGCAGGATGAGTCAATTTTGACTTGAGCTAATGTATTTTTTGAACTCGCGAACTTAAGCCGGTCAAAACTAACATGTTGTGAACCACCTTATTGCGCTCTGACGTTTTCGAAAATTTTCACGCCAGGTTGACCGTTCAAAACCCATTAGAACTAAGTGTATCTTGTCACTTTCCTTTTGCCATATTTTGGTGAGAAGCTATTTCGTAAGAGTTGGGATATTCTTGTATATACGTATCAAAGCCGTACTTTAATTTTTGCCGGTTTTAATTGGTTATTGTAACTTCTCCTCATTTTTTTGAGCAAATAGTCGCTTAACTGCTCTCCAACTTCAAGTATATATTTTTTTTTCTTAAAGAGGGATGCAAATGTGGTTTGGAAAATACCAATACGTTTAGTCGATTCCTATAGTTCGCGCATGTACAATTACGTCTTTACGATCGCCCCTCGCTCAGAAAACTTGCACACCAAGTGAAAATGCAAACAGCTATCCAAGAGGTATATATTGCGCATATATAAGACAAAATCGGATTTATCACCATATGAAATAATCAGATTTGACTGAATGTTTTCAGGAAATTGTTTGTTGATGTAAACTGAGAATGCTAGAGGTCATGTTTTCAGTTACCTGCTTGAAACGTTCGGCATAGATGCAGTAAGGTCCAAAATAACAGATTGTACCATTACCAATCATATACTTAAGAATTAAAAACTCCAGTTATTTTGTATTATAAAAACAGGAAAGAATATCAAACTCAGCTGAAAATTTTCAAGTGCATCCCTAAATGTTTTTCCAGACAAAAAAACATTGGGATCATCCATTTGACGTCATCACAACTCTTTCCCGCCAAACACTTCCTCCGCACGAATGACGTCAATGACTGGCGTGTTAATCTGATCTCGTGACAGGTAAAGAAAATTTTCTCGCAGTTGGAGATTTTATAGTCTTTTATGTGACATTATGAGCTGTTTACTAGCTCTTTTGCTTTTCTAGAAGCCTTTCTGGGCTTTGATTAATGATATAACATCGAAAAAGCGTGGATTGGCACAAGGTTGGTTGAAATATTTCATCATTTTGAGTTTGTGGCGGTGTAATGGTGAATTGTCGAGAAGCTACTGTTCAAGCTTGCATGCGTGTAATCAACGTTTATAACTAAGAAAGTTGGATTTAATACCTTAGGCCGTTAATCAACCTTTATTGGTCGCATTTCTTATTGAAGTGAGTTTCAAATACTCTTTCCATGCTGCATAATTCAGAGGATTTCGCGGCAAAATTTATTCCAGTTTTGCTGTTTACAGTAAACAAGTCAAATTCACTGAATTAGTGGATACCATTTTGTAAATCAACTCAATTTTTTTGTCTCTCGTCTAAACATAATTTTCATGATTAATTTTTTTATGTTAAACATCATATTTACTCGCAGAATTTCAAACCATCGTAAAAAGGAACTATACATTCTATACAGTCTGTTTATAGTTTATGTTTATGCTTCGGTCTCAGGAAAGCTTTCGTAAGTTTTGACAATTTTCGTCCCAAAATTAAAACTTGTGGCTCATAAATGCTTTTGCTCGGATTAAGTCTACTATTTGATAGTGTTTTTTTTTCGCTCTTTCGTTATTTTTCCATTCGTACTTAAGTCCTGTTTGTGGTCAAGACAAAGAGCTTTACAGGTGTTTGCGGCTTAATTTCGTATTTTTTTTTCTCGCTCAATGGCCACGAAAACCTTCCTATTAGAAGAGCTTATGTTACTTCTAGTTAATGAAATTTTGGTATTGTAATGCCAGGGAGTGTTAAGGGGTACAAATACCAGTATTTCCCCCATAATTCCGGTCGAAAAAACTACATATAATCACGATTTTCATCTCAGTTCCATACCACACCTTCTAGTATGGCAATTCTCGACAAGATATCAGAAATTTTACGAGTTTAAAGAAGCTAACGTAAAACGGCTTGATTTTATGGCTCGCCTGACTGTCGACGGTATCTGCTCTAGCTTAATAAGTGAAAAAGGTCGGGAATATCTTTTAAAAAGAATATTAAAAAGTATTCTTGTCGTTTGTTCCTGTTTACAGAATTTTATGTGGGTCCATGAAATCTTGTTGTGAGTGAAGTCTCGTGTGGCAAATTTGAATCAGTTTACAACCACAATACATGATTCATTAATGGCTCATAATCGCAAAATAGACATTTTTGACAATTTTTTGCTAATTATATACAGGAAATCGTAATGGTAATCGAAACTGTTACAACACACCGATACTTGAAATACGTGTTAATTTGCATTTTGATGATTGAGATCTGATCAGACAAACATGTGTTCTCATTGAAAAACGAATTTTAAAACTAAGGGTAAAATTCTTTGGCTTTTCATGAAAACTGGCAAATAGGAAAATATTCACGAAACCTGAGATTTTGGAATCAAAAGAAAACTGCTTTTTAAAGGAAAACGTTGAATCTTTTAACTTGTTTCATAGGAAATTTGTTGGAAAGAAACCGTAAGTGATAGTTTGTGAGGAACAGAGAAACACAAAAGAGGTGAGGATAATCCGAAGATAAACATGTATTGCTAAGGTTGAAGAAGAATGATTGTGTTGAGGCTAGATATTCCAAGATACAAAAAACCTTTCTTCTTTATTGCCAGACTTGACCTATCTCTTAAAAAAGGGGTGAAGTTAGAATCAATTCGTGTAAGCGATTTCGCCATCACCCTAATCACTGATAAGCTTATTGTCTTTATGCACTTGAAGTCGTCTATCCTTTACGCTAATCTCGAGAGATTTTAGAATTTGCACGCCAAAATGTATTGTGATACTTCCGCAATAATTTTTCTGCTCTTGAAAAGGTGCCAAAGTTTCTGCCCTCAAAAATGTGATTGAAATGAAGCCAATAACTTGTCTAAGATAACAAGAGCATTTCTTAAACAGCGCTGCGATGGAGAAGTTTCTTTGCGGAGTTTTGCTCACGTCAGGTTTAACGAACAATTCCCACTGCGGGATATCCCGCAGGCGTCGAGGGTTCCTTTCCGGAGTGGTATTACATGATAATTTTAATTACGCACTTTTATCAGCGTAACATTTATTTCCTTTCTGAAACAAGACTAAGGGCACACCTTCTGCAGGAACCCTTCCCGAAACAAGCGCGTTGGAGACTTGAAGAATCGTATTTCATCAGAAAGTCATAATGATTTTAACACTGCTTGCTTTCAACTCTCATATTCTCTTCGAAAAAGCGCAGAAGTTCTTGCTTAATTCAATAGAAACTCTAGCAAGTGTACGAGTCTGGGTTATGCAATATATACGAACTTGTGTAAAGGTTATGGCACTGAACAGGAGTTAAATAATAAAATGAAAGACCGACAGGGTTTTTTCTTAAGTGCGTGAAGAAACGAAAATGCAAAAATTTTCTCACAGCAGATGGTAATCTATGGAATTACTTCTGGTTTGCCAATGTTCTTCCGGTAGACCTCGCGAGAATCTTTGCAATCATTCTCGAACTTTCTTGTTTACCATGTGCAATTATAAGCGGTTTAATAGGCAAAAAGTATTCTTCGCTCTGAGCCATACATCATCAACAAACAACTCCGATGTTTTCTTAAATATAAATTCACAGTGATTTTAGATATATGAAATTCATATATTTGTAAATTCATAATTGCACTAGATAAAAGATTTCCAGAACGACTATCAGTATCTTCCGTAGCTTTGTCGGAAAATCAGTCTGGAAATTTTTTAATTTCTATGACGTCAAGCGTTAAACGACCAATTAAACAAGAAAAGCAATAGATAGCATCGGCATTGTTGAGTCGCTGTTGAATTGTCTCGGGTATCCTTCATCGCGCTAATTTTTGCGACACGCTGCAGAAGAAATTTCTTTTTTGGCCATTACAAATGACGTGAAGTTGTAAGGATAACATATTTAAAAGGTAATTGTTGTCTTAAGATGTTTTATCATAATGGTTTACAAGCTATTGAGTTGTTATCGACTTGTTGCGTGTTGCATTTTTCACGCATGTAAGATCTATTACATTCCTTTCGAGATTGCGCTCTTGAAAGTGTTTACAGCGTTTCAGCTGTAGATCGCGTTGTTATGTGAACGGTTTTTAAGGTATTACTTGGCAAAATTGAATATCACAAGCCGAGGCTTTGCATTGATTTTCTGGATTTGCAAATATTTAGTGTAGAGAGGTGGACTTCATGGACAGTAGAAGATCTTCTCGTTTATGTAAAAGCTTAACTTTCAAGTTACACCAAATTTAACAATGTGCATCAGCTTCTTCCTTCTTAATCGTCCTCTTAACTTCACTAAGACATCTCGCAGAGGCATTGGCCCTTGCGAAAACAGATAATTTCTGGCAAAGAATTGGGCCTTTGTTATGCACTGGAAAATCGGTTCATTCGCATTCTGTTCAAGTACACCCCTTCAGATTAGATTGGCCGTCATAAAGCTGTCTTGGTAATCTGTCATTGTTATCAGAGATTTAGAAGCCAGTGTCACGTATACTGCAATGTTATTTTATCTAAGTTATATAACAGTTGTATACATTTATTGCATTACTTGCCAGCCAAGGAAAACTTAAAAAGTTGCTTTTCAAGAAGATAGTTAGGAAAGCTACGTCAATTTTAGTAAAATTCTGTCGACCGTAGCTAAATGACTATAAACTTGATCATTCTGATTCAGTTAAAAGTTTCAAATTAGGTAGATAAGAAAAGAGGTGATTGCTTTCGATGTTTATAAACTGGATCTTGATGAAGTAGATGTTTTCTTTCTCATCAATCACTTGTGTAACACTCTACATTTTATTCCTAAAGAGGTCATGATCAGATCGCTTGGTGATGCGCGATGATACTCGCTTTGAACCATAAGAAATCTTAAATTAACGAAGTAGTAGTGAAACGACGGGCATTTTGCCCGCAGTTGACTTTTTCTTATTAATACTATTGTAGCCTCAGCCGATGTTTACCGTCTAGGAGTGGAGTTCGTCCTCTTGATTTTGTTGACATGCAAATTTTTCGCCGGTTAAAAAGTTCCCGCGAGTTACCGCACAAATAAAAAATTATAATGCATCGATGCTGCCCAAACAGGTGAGGACTTCGTCGGTCATTCGCGCTATTTTTTATCTGGCGTTCCTTTCATTGCCTGGATGTGTATAAGCTGAAATACAAACGGCGGATTACTCGCGTCTACGTAGAAGGTGAAAAGGTGATTCAAAAGGTGATTCAAAAGCGTGTATTCATTTTAGTTATCTGTATACTATTGCATGTAGGTGAAGCCCAAAGTAGTGTAAAAACCCGCCACAATGAGAAACACAGTCACAGATCGAGATAAAAGCACATAAAAGTTATCTTAAGCTGAGCGTTGCAAAGAAACTGATAAGGACATTTCACTGCTTGTGGGCTTTCATGTTGTGGCCGGCAAATTAGACGGAGTAGGGCCTGGTACCATCGCTGTGTAAATATTGATACGTCAATCGGCACATTTTCGGACAAGCCCGAACATCCAGCTCGCCTTGTAATCGGGTAATGACGGATCACCATTTTTGCGACAGACATAGAACGGAGATAGAATACTTCCGCATAGACTGAATACAAAGCTTGCGCAATTTTCAGGAGCTTTTCTGTCTTCTTTTTTATTAGTGGGAAATTAGACTCTGAGCAGTCCCATCCCTTCGGTGAAATCCGACTCGTGAGTCAATAATAATAATAGTAATAATGATAATAAATATAAATAAAAATAAATGAACAAAAAAAAATTTTATATTGGCCGTACTTTTCGTGTGCCTCATTCCTAGAGTTCCGGGCTGAGCGCTCACGTCTCTGACTCGCGCAACGGGCTTCGCCGAGAAGCGGCACTGCTCACATTCTAGTGGGAAACTTCAACCCTTTGCCGAGCGAGCTGAGATTCCAGCTTGGTTATATTTCACGGGAAGAATTTCAGATCAACAACTTGGATAATCAAGGCATCGCCTCTCCGGAAAATTGCGATAAAGTTCATATGACATTTCTAGCCCGTTAACCCTTTAACTCTCAGATCAAATTTGTAATTCTCCTTATTGTCAATCATACGATTCTTATAATGTTAGTTCAGAGAATTTGGTATAGGGTCAAGTGCACGTGATTACTCCCTTATCGATATTTTTCTTTATTCTCGTCACTTGTCTGCTTGATATTGTATTGATATTGTAAGAAGTAATTCTGTCTTGGTCACTCGTGGGAATTAAAGGGTTAATCGAGATTTCGAACGAAACAATCGAGATCTCGAGAACTAAGGAGAGAGTGAGTCCAAGAGATCTTGGAAACCAAGGCAGCCCGACTGACCGAGCTCATACGAAGATTCGCCGAAATTTTGGTGAACGCCTTTCGTAACTTTTCCATATGAACGGCCGGTTTTCGGAGAGAAACGCTAATTAGCACATCTTACCGATGTTTATAGGTCATTAATCGGAAGATCTAATATGCTGATTATGCGTATTAACAGGAGTAATACAAGCCAACGATTTTACAGTATGATATACATCTCTTGTTCTGCTGATTGATTTTAAACCACTCTTTAGTTAGCTGAGGTCGATATTCCCTTAAGTATTATACACGATGAGATTGGATTAAAAAAAAAAACGCTCAGGATATTTTTCATTATAGAAAATATTCCTATTTCCATTTCTTCGAGGAATATCAACTTCAATGAACTAAAGAATGGTTTAATACCAAAAGACAAGGAGATAGATTTCATACGTAGGAAATTTTTGCCTGTATTATTCCAGTTAATCTGATAACCTCTAATTTTCCACTTCAGTGAATGTTTCTCCGTGATTATCGATATTCAGGGCCTCCTAAAACGGTTAGAGGAAAAAGACAGTTATGTGTTTTGGACAGTTTTATCTCTGTAATTGAATTTTACGATTAACACATGTTCGCCGGAAAATTATGTAATAAAGATTTCCATTTTGATGGAAATTGCTGTGAATCAGCAAGTTTTATTTTTACTGCTTGTTACATACACTAGTTGTCAATTTAAAAATGAGTTATATCTGTTCTTACATATTTTGTTTGCACTCAAGGTAACAAGCCAAAACAAAATCCTTGCGGCGGAGAAAGAGCACGAGCAAAAATTTTCGAACGGAAGGAGATCCTAAAAACCGGAAGATTTACGGTCTGATCTTTAAGTAAAATAAAATAAAAATTATCGAAACTGTACCCATTAGAATATATCATTTTCGTAGGGGAAGAAATAAGGTATCAAAAGGCTTGTAATTGTAAGCTTTGGATAAAACTAATTTTTAAGTGCCATTGTATGATACTTCAATTTTCCTAAAAATGGACTAGATTGATTTATGTGTAGCTATTAATGCATTTGTAGCTTACGTTTTGTATAAGAGCTCTATTTGCATAATTGCTCTTTCTATGTTTTCATCACAATAGAATTAATGCAGTGATCCTTGTTGAATGACGGAAATTATTAGAGCTAAGCGCTTTGTTTATCGTAATAAACTGACGCCTTAAGTGAGTCTCTCGCAGAATCGATCGGCTCTCGTCGGGTATAAAATTTCGTTTACCAGAGATCACTTTAAATTGGTTTCTTGTACAAGCCGGATAAATATTTCGTTCGTTTACCTCTGTAAAGCAGGCTAGTTACAGTGCAAAGATTATCACAAACTCTAAAACTCTTTTTTATGTGAAATTTACATAATTGCTCTGTAGATTACTGAAATTTGAGAAGTGGACGAAAATTAGAATAATGCCTTCTTGACCTTTCTCTCTTCTCTTCGGTGATCAAAGCTGAAACGATTTCCGCTACAAGGTGACAAAATTTTAGCCTTTTCAATGTAGTTCTTTGCTTTGCTTTGGTATAGAAAATGACATCACCAAACAGACCGCGGTCGTATTTTTAGCCGCTCACCAACTCTCCATTCATATGTTAATTCCCAATCTTCACCTCTTGCCCTTGTGATGTCATTCAACTTTCAAATTAGTCGAAAGCTCTAAAGAGAGAACACACGGACAAGCGCGGACTTTGTAAGAGTGATCCGGAAATTCAGCGATAATGATAGCTAAACTTTTCCTCTTCTGGATATCCCTGACAAGACTGTCATTCGAGCAGCTCTGTACATATTTTGATTTATACGACGCGGTACATCTTCTGTTTTTAGGAGTCATCGGCATTTGCTTGAGAATCGTTCAGCGCGGGTCATGGAGCGTTAACAGAAAGGTCCGATCAAGTCTTCGATCGCCCACTACTTCTGGAAAAAAACGTGGTTCCGTCTCTTTTGCTGCCGGAACTAAATTTTATCCCATTCAAAGCCATTCTACTCCGGTAGGTGAAAGGTTTTTTCTTTTAATTGTATGCTAGCGGGAAAACTGTTTACTGTAGGAGACATCTTTATGACCTCGAGGCATCAACTTTCATCGATAGCCTTCAAAGTATTGCTCTGCGGACAATTTGTACACAACGCAGCTGGACTGATATTGAATGTACTCAATATAACCCGAGGCTCTGTGGTAAGGCTTTGTAAACAGTTTTCCTCTTTTCTGTTTTGCAGCTAAACTGGACGATATTACGGAACGTGGGCCCCTTGTCAACCATGTCAGAAACTTGGAAAGCTCAGCGATCTTCCTTGAAAATCTCTCTGACCACAGATGATGGAGAAGAAGTGACGGAGGGAGACAGGTACGTTATGTTTTGTTATTATTTTTTCGTGTTAATCTTACCCAGCCCTTGGTTTTTATAATGAGGCTTCTATACCTGTGAAACTGATGATTTCAGCTTTGTAGTTGTAACGTGAATTAATCCCCTGCAGTTTTAAAACGAGCAATTTTTCGAATGTTCGAAGTTGCTGTTGATTCGAATCCAGCTGTATTTTTCTTCTTTTTTTTTACATTAATTTTCTTTTGGATAAAGCTGCACGGATAATTGCCCCAAGCTTATGAGCAGACTGTGGGTTTATTTACATACTGTCAAAGATAGTTCTGATATTTTTTTTGCATGTTTTACTAGTTTATCATTTCCAAGTAGTACCTTTGGCAAAGCGGGAATTTTTTCGAGAGGCCGGTTTCTTTCATTGATAAAATTAAATTCCTCGCTCGCGTTGGGCGTTCGTGTATTTTGTGAACAAAGGACATGTCAAGAATTAAATGAAGCTACGAATACAGTCCGTTTATTGTCTGCAAGCTATGTTATAGACGATTGATCGTGCGAGTGTTTAATTCAAACGCATTTTACGGCCGATTTATTTTCAATTGAAAGAGATTGAGACGCCGATCGGGTATAACTTGTAAGTTTTCTGAGGAAAATTTTAATATTTTGCGATTTTTCTCTCTGTTATTGTGTATTTTTGAACGGGAAATTGACTCATTTGCCGTCCTTACACGTTTGACAGAACTTGGTTTCCCAATGAACAGCTGTTTCGGCTGTAAAGGGTTCCTCGACATCTTGTTTCGTGTTCTTCCGTTATCGCTCGATGAACGATTTTTGGGAAGGACTGTTCGATGTCTTTGTTGATGTGTGCTAAAATTATAAAAACAATTCTTGTGACCTCTGTAGTCAAAACATAGTGATTTCGCTTCAGGACGAGTATCAATGCCGGTTGTTGTTTGAAGTAATTTTGATAATGTGAACCCTGCAAATGGCTTCATTTTCTTCCCATCTTGCTTTACGCGAGCCCAGTATTCTTATAATTAATCTAAAAATGGCTATTTCGAGTTCTTGGGTAATACAGTGGCTGAGCTTTAAATTTGGGCAACATTAAAGCATGCATGCGTATAGAAATAATGAACGTTTTAAACCGGATAATGTCCGGTGAAAAATTAATAGCCGATCAAAATTTAGTGAAAAATTCTAACGAACGAACAGCTTACAAATGTATGACTTAATTTTCTTAGTAAAATTTAGGAGTAAGTTTGTGAAAAAAGATATATTCATATGATAATGTTCAAAACACAACTTAAGTCTTTTAGTTCGAGTTGCCAGTGTCATTACCCTGTTGTAATTAATTTTACACCTGATATATGTTCCAAGATGATTTTATCCTGTCTGGTTATCATAATTAGGTCTAATATCAGAAAAAAAAGGAAATGGGTTATCTTTTTCTGTTATTTATTTTAAAAATTTTCAAGACTTTTGTTATTGTGGTTTGCCAGGTGATCAGTATATTTAGTTGAATAAAGTGACAAAAATGTGCAAATTTATTCTGAGTTGTTGTAAATTATTTAAAATATTGTATTTGGAAAATATGAGATTCATTGCCTTGTAACTAGTCATTGTGCTCTGCATTTAAAACTTTTCATGAATAACACAAAAAAAAAGCTTACAGGATTTTTTATCTTTTTGCACATGAAAAGGTCTCTGTGTTAGCTAGTGAAATATTAATAAGCTGAAGTAGATTTTGATTGTAAATATGTTTTTTCAGATACTTTCCTCATCCCAGTGTGTCAAAACTATCAGTTTTGATTCTGAAATCTTAAACTTAGAGCACAGCTAATGGTTTTTAACTGTTAATTTTTTTTTGAGATCTAAGATGAACTCTTTAAGAAAGAATAAAGGCAGTATTTTGTTTTAATGTCCCTGCAATGCAGTTTGGGTGCTATTACAGTGACATATGTACATGCAACCTTTTCAGTATCTGTGTTTACTGGCTATTTAATAAGTCTTGAACGAAAAGACAGGTGAAGAAAGAACTGTGGTAATTTAATGAGTAAAAGAGCTTGCACTAGCTTTGACAGCACTAGCTGTTGCTGGCTTTCTGTGAAAAATCTCCAGGTGTTGTTTACTTGTTCGTCAGTTTGCTTTGAAAATGAGGCAGCTGCCTAATGCTTTCTAAAAGTTCAGCATTGGATAGTGATCAAGACAGCACTGGTTCAAATCTTGTTCAGAATTCTTAATTTTTCCTTTTTTCCCATACTTGTGGAGTATTGTTTGTGGAATCTAGATGGGTGGTGTTGCATTCTTTTTTCATGACTTATTCCTTAGCTTAGAATTTTAAATTTATTTGCAAGAGATCTGCATATTATAAAATAAGTATGTGATTGTATGATTAGATGTATGCATTATAATGACCAAGTGTGAGATCAAGATGGCTGGATGTTGGCAGAGTTCCTTGTTTGCATTTTTCTGGACTGAGATGAAGCTGAGTTCTATAATAATAAAAAAATAAAATGAGGCTAATATCCAGCCATGTCTACCAAACAAGCTTGTTCAAGAAAGGATTTATTATGTTGCGAAAATATTTTGCTTTATTATAAAGCAAGAATGATTTTTGTATTTTGAGAGATGAGAAAGAAAGCCTGATATTTCTTTGTTTGCAGCACAATAAAACTGCAAGAGTTGTTTATACTTTCTTTTGTTTTGACTGTCTTCTGCTGCTTTTTGTGTCGCAGTCACTGACTTTTTCCAAAAATTATGAACTATGTTAGTTCGCTTCAGGCAATGTTTTTCTTTCACGGGATCAAAGCAGGCAATCCCGAGTGAGCATTATACTGTAATAATTACAAACTGCCTCTACAATTTTGTGCCACTGCATTTTGCTTGCTATGGTGTCCGAAGGTGAATTGTTACCAGTAATCAAAACATATCTTTTTCTTGAACACAATTCAGTTGAATTTGCTGTCAAAAAAATATGTTAATTTGCCATTGAGTAGGCTTTTTTTCTGCTAATCTTTAAATACATGGAGCAGGATTTAAGAGAATATTTAGCCTGTCAGTAAAAAATGCTAGGAGACCAAGAAGTGTTGTAGTCAGGAATGACCAAAATGTAATTTTCCTTCCAAAATCAATACAGTATCAAGCAAACTTAGTGATGAGAATTCAGGAAAGATATCACCAACAGGATGATCATTTGATCCAATATCAAATTCTCAGAATTAACATTCTAGGAAATATAGTGGAATTCATGCCGCTGTGGAAAGGCCATTGTGATGTGTTTTTGTGAAGCAATCTAGATCTACCCTCATAATACCTCTCCAAGGAGCATGATAAACTATAAGTGACCAAGACAGAATTTCTCCCTACACTATCAAGCAGACAAGTGATGGGAATAAAGAAGAATATCAACCAGGGGATTATTAGATAATCCAATACCAAATTCCCTGGATTAACCATTTAAATCCCACATTAGTGACCAAGACAGAATTTCTCCTTAGAGTATCAATACATTATCAAGCAAGCAGTTAGTGAGAATAAAGAAGAATATAAATTAGGGGACTATTGGCAGTGTTCTCCTTTTCAGGCAGTAACCGGTATCATTTACTGCCAGTAGTACCTCTTATTACCACTTAAAATTGCTTGGAATTCTTGAAAACTCAACAGGTATTGCTTTATCGCTTTGAAAATTTATTTTACCTGTCATGCTTGAGAACACTGTATTGGTTGATCCAACACAAAATTCTTAGAACTAACATCATACGAATTGTATGGTAGACAGTAAGGGGAATTGCTAATAAGATCTTGGGAGTGAAAGGGTTAACTTCATGCAAATTGTATGGCTGAAAGTAAGGAGAGTTACTAATGAGATCTTCAGAGTGAAAAGGTCAATGTTTGAATGCAAAGTGTGAATGAAACATAACAACCCTGAGATGGACTTAAATGTCCATCCTGTTGTAGCCAACCTTAAAAAAACATGGTCAACAGCAAAGGTTTAAATTTATTTCAGATCGAGACAGGTGTTTTACTTCTTTGTCTTTTAAGATACCCTCTTGCTGGCACTTAAGAAATAAATAGTCCAGGAAAACACAACCCATTAGTGCTTTTGGAAAACACTGTGACTTTATAGGAAATTATATGATGATCACTTTTGGCATTCAAAGGGTTAATCAGTGTTCATATATACCACACAGGTTAATAGTGCTTTTTGCACACACTGATTGGCTAGTTTGGAAGTGAATAGAAGAGTACTATTCACCTCTGAGAAGCGACTTAAACAAAATCATGCGTCAACAGTTTCATTTCAGACCATGTTTTGGTATATCGAAAGAAATAAACTAATTTTTTTGTATCTGTGTAGTATAGACTACAACAGTTATTCACCTCACAATCTGTGTCATTAAAAGTGGTGAATATTAACCTCGCAGCTCAGTAAATGTCCACCACCATTCACCTCCACTTTGGTGAATAATTGTCAATTAGTATAGGTAATAAGATCTCAAGTGCAATTTGGTGTTAATGAGCAGGAATAAATTTTTTCAAAGACAGCAAAATTGCATGAGCCTGTAGGGTAAGTAGAATTTGCAGTCTTTGAAAAATTTACTAGTGCTTATTACACAAAATTGCAAGAGAAATCAGTTATTACTTGTTAATCATATTCATGAAAAAACATTACTGAGAGTCCAGACAGTGGAAATTTTGAAAGCATATACAGGCTATTTGTAATTTGCACTCATGTTACAACTTTGCTCTCATGTTACTCAAGAATGCATTTGTTTTCAGCCAATCTGAAGCACATGATTTTTTTCCTGTACATTATTATTGCCCTTGTTTATAACAATGCTAGCTAATTCCCGTAATTTGTACATTGCAGTTCAATTCATCTTTGCTGTATTTTTCTATCTTGCCATTCTTACATTCTGCAGTTTCCTGCAAGAGGCCAATTATGTGTCTTGCACAATAAAAGAGAGTCAGAATACTCTAGTTTGACATATCTGCATACTAGATCCTGCTGTTGCCTCCTCTGCTGTCAA